GATTCCTGGTACCAGAAGAAAAACAAAAACAAACAAACAAATGAAAAATCAGGGCCAGGGATATAGCTCAGCATCACAGCAACTGCCTGGCAAGCACAAGATCCTGATACCAAAAAAATAAAAAATAAAACAGGGAGGGGAAGGGAAGGGAGAGAGACAAGGATAGACAGGCCAGGAAAGTAGAATCAGCAGGGCTTTGAGACTTATCCCTTGTGGCAGAAGAAAGAGGAGCCCACGGAACCCGTTCCTTCTACTCCCAGTGCTCAGAGCCTCAGCGCTGGGCACTCCGCCCCCATGGTGGAAAGATGAAGCAGGTGGATCCTGGGTTCTATTTCTGAGGGCAAACCTTGCTGGTGACACTATGAGCAAGTCATTTTTCTGTAAACCTTGGGGTCTGCATTCCTTTCAAATGCTGCAGGCACACCATGTCCTGAAATGGTGCTCTTTAAACCTTGGGAGGACAATGCAGAAACGTCAGAGGAACATATAGGAAAACCATATGACGTTTCTTTTTTTTTGCGCTACTGGGGATTGAACTCAGGACCTTGCGCTTGCCAGGCAGGCACTTGTGCCACTGAGCTATATCCGTAGCCCTATATGATGGTTCTATAGGCAGTAAATTTGTGGAAATGGAGCCGGGCATGGTGGCACACACCTGTCAGTCCAGATGTTTGGGAGGCTAAAGTTTGAGGAATATAGCAAGTTTGAGTCTAGTCTGGGCAATCTAGTGAGACCCTAACTCAAAATAAAATTCAAAATGATTAAATAGTAGTAGAATCCCAGCACTCAGGAGGCTGAGGCAGGAGGATTGTTGTGAGTTCGAGACCAGCCTGGGCTACAAAGTGAGTTCATGGCTGGCCTGAACTGCATAGTGAGACCCTGTCTCAGAAAGACAAAAAAGAAAAAAAAAAAAAATAGTAGTAGAGTTCTCACCTAACAGTCATGGAGCTCTGGGTTCAACCCCCAGCACTGCAAAATGGGAGAGTAGAGAAGGAACTGGGTAGAGTCTGGAAACAAACCAAAATACACATGTTAATAAACTAATTTTTTTCTGAGACAGGGTCTTGCTATATAGTTCAGGGTAGCCTTGAGCTCACTATGTAGCCCAGGCTGGCCTTAAACTCTCAATGATCCTCCTGTATCAATCTCCTGAGTGCTGGGATTACAAGCTTGTATCACCACACCTGGGCAGTTTTAACTTCTTACTCCAAAATGAATATCGGAAGAATCAAAGTAAAAGGCCAGGA